CAGAAAAGCACAGGACAGCACAGATTTAGTTAACAGCTTTAGGGCGACTAAGTAAGTCATACCAGTGAGCAAGCATGCACAATACCAGGACCCTGGAACTAGCTCACCTAAATGGATTGCAACCATTTGTAATGTTATCAAATCCACCCGTGCTTTTCCTGCGATGACAAGCCAAAATGTCTGCTGTTAAAAAGGTCTATTCCTGCATTGCCTGCTGTCCCACACCTTGAAAAATATGGCAATATGGCCAATTATGGCATTAATGTCAGCAAGATAAAGATTAATGAAACATTCTTATCAGCTTTTAGGTAATATTTTCACTCTTTGGAAAACTCACCAAAGGATTCTAAAACTGTCAAGGGGAGAGCCTGTCTTTAAAGGGCTCTCCCATATCTAGGTGTACCAGATTGCCTCTGGCTTCAAAATTGTGCTGCTTTGCGCACATGTGAGAAGTTTGCCTTCAGGGCTTTCTGGCAAAAGGCTTTCGGTCTTTATTTTTTCCTACACATAACAAAGTAGTTTGGTGCCTAAACCTAACCAAGTAGTAAGGTTTTCTGGCAGAAAGCCCAGAGGGCAAACTTCTTCCATGTGCGCACTGGGAATGGCACACTTCACAACGTGCACTTCACAGCATGCCCCTTGATTCATGAAAGTAAACCCCAGAATGTAGTGTAACTGGACGCTCATCAAATGGATTACTGTGTCCAAACACTGTAAACGGAGTGATTATCTTTTTCTATATATATTTCTGGAAGTTTGTTTTTCTGCAAGATCAAATTCTGTTTTCTATTCTTTTCAAGCTGAATCCAATCATGACTCATATCACAGAGCTTTGAGTGAAGGCCATCTATCTATCTATCTATCTATCTATCTATCTATCTATTTATCTATCTTTCTAGCTATCTATCTCCTGTATCTATAAGAATCATCACACACAGTTTCAGAACATTTTGAGAAATTGCCTGACTGAATCTATCACCACTTAGGCTCTGGGGGACTGAACATATTCAATCTATGAAGCTACATTAGATGAAAAATACTTGTAGATGATGTGTCAGTCATGTATGTTAAATGTATGTCTGTGAAAGTATATGGCGCCCATTCAGCAAATGGAAATGGTGTTCATTCATGCATCGTGCATACTTCACACTCACCATGAAGTGTGCACTCACATACAGTATTTTGCTGCAAGACCTAAATTTATATTATCAGTTACAAGTTTATGATAAAATCTAGTGTGTAAAATCAGTGTTACCAAGATTTCAAACTCCACATGAGAATAACAGAAGGCTAAACTTCTCATTCTGCTCATGAAACTGAATGGTACAGAGAAGGGTTTAAAACGCCAGTGGGGGGGTTACCATTCAAGTTCAAAAGAAAAAAAGAATTCATCTCTCTAATAAGTAAATCAACATATCTGCAGCTAATCAGCAATGTTAACATACTTTATGGAGTCAGCAGCTGCTGCTGCATAGATAAGTCCATTTATGACAGTTAATCAGTGCAACCACCTTGTATCTATATCACGCTCACCCTGCGGCCACCTTTAATACACTTACACATTACACATTAAGCTATTAAAAGCTTGACAAAGACACTTCTGTATCTGCAGTGGAGCAGCCATCCCAGGGCCGGGCAGAATCCGTTTCTGCTCTACTGATTCTGGCCTTTAGTTCGACGGTGGTCAACTGGTGTAATTGGCCAGCACTGTTGTCACTTAGGCTGTAAAACAATCTCCCATCAGCACCATACATCACTGTCATACTTAATGTAGTATTCCCGACATTTGTGTCTCGACTAGTGCCCATATACTACGTGATAAATGGGCCTAAGCAAGTCACATTCCGTACCAGACAGTACAAGATATCATTTTAATTTGTGTCAGATGGTGCAGTGAATGTTTTGTGAATTTAGCACAATGACAACAAGTCCTCCAAATAAAAAGAGAAAATGCATAGTGTGTAGATGCAATCCAGAATCCACATTTATAAGATTAATAAATTTATCCATAAGATTTAATGTTTGGGCGTCCCTATTGGCAGAGTGACATAAAACGTGTCTTTGTGCCTTTCAAAGTCATTACAAATCACTGTTAATAAATAAACCAGTTTCATTATGACACAATGCTATGGTTAAGGGGCATTTAGCTTTAGCACATAAACAACTTGGTCAGGTTTAGCAAAAGTACATATTTAAGATTAGGGGACTTTTGTCAAATTGTTATGGTAAGGGAACAATCTTGATCATGGTTTAATAAAGACCACTGTTGAGAGTAAACGTTCAAGCAAACAATTCCTCTTTTTTCCTTCTGTTTTCCTATGACCTAACATAATTCTAGAGGGTTTTGTCACTTGATCAAAAACGACATTTGCTTGTGTAGTTTTCCTGGGAGGACAGTCTCCGCAATGATGTAAATACAAAAAACGAAACATAATATTAGCAGAGACACGCAATCAACTTTTTACATCATCTGTCTTTACCTCTCTTATGTTTTGACAAACAACAAATATGGTGTTGGTCAATGCCCTCCAAAAGAACAGCCTTTTCTGATCTGGCACCACTATTGTCAGGACGAACCCAAATCCAGGGTGTAGTTACGTTGTATTTCATAATAATCCCTTAAAATGTACTTAAAATCCACAGCACCTGTTGTCCTTGTTAATAACAGACATAATCACAGCCTAATATTTGATGGAGGCACACTCTGTTCTGTTTTCATGGTGCTTAAAATGGGATTTGTAATAGATGTTGTGTTGCTAGCACAAAAGTATAAAAAAAATGACGTGGGCTAATTAAAGCTTATCATAGCCTAAATCATCCTGTATTCAATCAAGGTAATGATTAATTTTGTTGTGGGTGCTAATCCTTCACATTGCAGCAAAATGCAGCCTTAAAGTAAAGTATGAGTATGGCATACAGGCAACTGTGGTTATCTTTAAACCACTGATGTGTTTACTTCATCTAAATATGTAGACAAGTTATTACCCACATTGCATATATGCATGTGTTCAGTTATGTTTTATGCAGCAACATTTCAAGTGAGCCATAACTTAACAGCAAAAAGCCCTGTGGATGCATTTGTTCGTTTCTTTCACTAGTCAGAAATCTAGTTCAGGAAAGGACTTTCAGCAACACCATCAGCTTTGATATGATCTGACTCAACTAATGCATAATCTTCCTATATTTGGGTTGGATTATGAGCACAGAACAGATCGTGTTCTCACTTCTTAAGTTATTTAGGGTGGCATGGCGTACATTGTGAGAATCCCAACCAACAATTCTTTTGAGCTGCCTATAAGCCAGCCTCTCTCTTCTCATGTATCCAGATGAATCAAACTAAAACAAAATTACTTCTATAAAAGTATTTTTTATTATCTCCTAAAATGTAACTACAAAGATTTAAGTGTATCACACACACTTAACTCTATTGTGAAATTTACTTTATATTTCCAATATTTAGACCTCAAACTGTAAAAATACCCTGTGGATGAAACATTTTCTGAAAGTGTCATTTTCACATCAAGAAGATGAGTGTATGACCTGTCTTTTCCTTCGTTTTTGACTGTTGCCTTATGGTCAGCATCTCACGAGCTTTGGTAGTGTGTCTCTTTGTTTCAAAATTATATTCACAAATTCTGCCTTGTGGCCAGTCCTGCCAGGGACAGACTGAGAATAAAAAACAGCCCTGGACTATGTAACTGAACCAGCCACGTGATTACTTAAATTAACTATCATAATTTGTGGAATTATACATGCAACCTGTATAATGTTCCTCTCCGGGAACCATCACCTCATCGTGGTGGAGAGGTTTGCGTGTCAGAGTATTCGGCCTTCTTGCAGACCCTGAATGGAGTTCTTTATGGGGCTCCAGTAGGGGACTTGAGATCTCATCACTGCTTTTTGCGGATGATGTGGTCCTGATGGCATCATCGGTCCTTCAGCTCTCACTGGATCGGTTCACAGCTAAGTGTGAAGCGGTTGGGATGAGGATTAGGATCTCTAAATCTGCGGCCATGGTTCTCAGCAGGAAACCGGTGGAGTGCCTACTCCAGGTAGGGAATGAGTCCTTACCCCAAGTGAAGGAGTTCAAGTACCTCGGGGTCTTGTTCACGAGTGAAGGGAGATTGGAGCAGGTGATTGGCCGGAGAATCGGAGGAGCAGGGGGTATTGCACTCGCTTTACCACACCGTTGTGACGAAAAGAGAGCTGAGCCGTAAGGCTTCGTGAGGAGTCAGAGTAGAGCCGCTGTTCCTTTGCATCGAAAGGAGCCAGTTGAGGTGGTTTGGGCATCTGGTAAGGATGCCTCCGGGACACCTCCCTAGGGAGCGCCTCGTGATCCCCCAGTCAGTGTGGCTCGTTTGGGGTCCCCTGCTGGAGCTGCTGCCTCCGCGACCCGACCCGGATGAAGATATATGGATGGACTTGTATAATGTTCTAATTGTTTTTACACTATTTCAGATCAGAATATATGGTACTGTTATTGTTGGGTGAACAAAATATCAGAAACATCTTTCTTCAAAGTTCACTACCACTACACTACCACAACAAAGTAGTAGTACCATCAAAACTACATATTAAACCTCCATATTTAACATTAATGGTAACTAGCATTTAAGCAGTGCCTTTTGCACTACGTTACATTGCACATGTTCTTTCTCATGTTAACTAAGAACTGTTGGCACATGATTAGAATTAAAACAGTACAGCTGTAACATAAACAGCTTTTCTTCATTGAATCCTTGTGTAAGAAAGAAGACCTACAAGGGATGTCTAAGCTAATCACACAGACAAAATACTTTTGAGTACTTTGGTTATTAGCATATAAGAATTTCTGATGAAACAAGGGCAGAATATTAGATAATTTATTTTAGCTGCTAACCTTTTCTTTCATAGCATCAGCTCAACTTGTTTCAAAGCTCCTGGTACTCCAGATGGGCAGTGTGCACTTGAGTTCTACCTTAAAAGTACAGTAATACTGTTACCACCTACTGTACAGTTACCTTGATCGAGATCATACTCCTCCATGGTGCTGACAAAGTGAGGTCTGGAGTAGAAGTTATGTGGCCCTGGTTGCTGGAGACCCCCCAGGCTGAACAGGCTTCGCTCGTTTGTTGCACAGCAGGAAAAGGCCCTCCGGCTTGGGATGCACGGATAGCGTGTCCAGCTCTTCACCTCCAGATCAAAAGCCTCCAGCGCCGTCACCGGCATCTTTCCCTGACGACCACCTGGAGGAGGCAGGAGAACTTTCAAACTCAGGGTCAAAACGCATTTATGATGATATCTTTAAATGTCCACAGAGCTTACACTGTATATATTTATGTATGTATGTCTATATATGGATATGTAGTGTTGTAATAGCCATCTGGATCACTTGATTTAGTTGTTATACACAACCATGTTTAAAGCCACTTCCCCCAAGATGTTAAACAACAAATCACTTCTGTATTATCATAAAGATGTGCATTTGCATTTACCATCTCATAAAAGAAATACATTTCCAGGAAAATATGCATGTACTCAAATAGACTTAGACTTAGCCAAAGACTTAAAATACAAATTTTCCTTGGGACCCTGTTTGTCCTTGTTTTCCATTCCCTGTTTCTTTTCATTTCCTTTTAATCCCCTGCTGCTGTCACAAAGTTTCCTTGGCATTTATGTCAAAGCCTGGCAAGCGTGCAGACCAGCCCTGGGACCACATTTCATTTTGGACTGAAAGCAGAGCACAACAGCAGGGTGCTCCCTTAGGATGCCTACAAGTTGTTTACTTCCACGAATCATAACTTAACCTTGTAAAATGCAACTACAAGGGAAAGCAAAGTGGTGAGAGAGGGAGCAAGAATGTGAATGATGGCGTAAGGGAGGAAATGTTGAGGCCAGTTTCGGACAATGTGAGAGAGGTGTTGAGGATAATAAAAAGGACTAAGAGGAATGAAAGATAAATGGAAGGAGAAGTAACAAGAAAACAGAAACAGATAGCGGAGAAGAAAGAGGTAGCGGGGGGTGGAGGATGACAAAATGACAATGAGACTGAGAAATTGTGCAAAAATAATATAGGGAAGAGAGGAGAATGTGGAGGAGTGAGAAAAGAAAGTGAAAGAGGGTCAACTGGAGTAGGCAGGGTGGCATGGCGATCGATAGCAATAGCGAGACAAAGTCGAACTGAGTGGGAAGCATCAGAGTCATAGATGTGTGAGAAAGAAGAAGATTCTGAGCTAAAACATCTGTTAAATTACTATATAAATGTGCATTATATAGAGGCATTACAAATCCACACTAAAATAGGATTCATATACTTATATTTTCAGCCAGATTGGATAGTTCACATTCAGCTACTGCAGTACGCCATAGACAGATTTTTGACACCATTAAAAAAAAGAGAAACTGTGATGCTGACTGTGTGATAGGACACACAATACGAAAATATTATTTCTATGACTTCATTTATCCACTCATCTACTGTATATAATTTTTGTATATAACATTTGCTTTTGTGAGTAACATAAAAGGAACTACAACTTAATCTTGTTTTACTACCCTGTGTTGTAAAATGATAAATAAATCTACCTTGTACGTGAAGAGAAGACATTTTGGTAAATACGCTTATTTGCTTTCTTGCCCTGAGTAAGATTGAAGATTGACAGGCTCGGGCTATCATGAAGAGAACCAGGAGCGGATTAGCTGAGATTAGCATAAAGACTAAAGAGCTAAACAGCTGCACAGCTTACCTGGCTCTGTCCAAAAATATGTCTACCAGTACATCTAAACCGTACAAGTTAACGTTGCATCTTGTTTGTTTAATCTGTACACAAATTGAATTTTGTGGGGAACATTTTGTTTTATGCGGAATGAGCCAAGACACATGTTTTCCAGTTTATGGCTGTTTTTCAGTCTATGCTAAAATAAGTTAATTGACTCTCTGCTCTACCGCCATAGTTAGCGCACAGACATCAGAGTGGTATCTATCTTCTCATTGAACCCTTGGCAAGAAAGCAAAAATGCATATTTCCCAAAAATGTTGAACAATTCTGCAGCAAACACCATTAACTCTTCTGTCTGGTGTATACTATCATTACAACGCACACACTAGATGATTCAGTCAAGACACAAGACAACACACTAGGCGTTTACTAAACAATTTCAGAGCGGCGAATCCAGGGACTTGGGATCTCACAGAAACTTGTGTGATCAAGCGCGACTTCAGAAAAACAAACAACATGGAGGCAGACTGTCGTTTCAGCTGGTTGCATTAGTATGTGGATATGTTTTGCACCGAAAAAAAACAAAAAAAGATGTGAATGAAGTCATGGCTAAGAAGACTGGATCAGCATGGCTTATACATTTTGCAGCATGAGCAAGTACACAAAATTCGGTTGGCAATGCTTCCCAGTCAGCTCACTGTCATTGGCTATTGAGGGTTTCTATTCTATATTGTTGTATATAGTTGTTCCTTTCACACTGAAAAATTTCCAGTAGGATTTAAAATCGCGGAAACTCCAACCCAGTCGGTAACATTAGGATTATGTCTGTAAAGCTGTCAAACTACAGGATGATTTGGGCAGAAAATCTGTTCAGACCACCCTCAGACTGGTAGCCCCCCGCAACTGTCGGGAGGGGCAAACTGGGCTCACAATCTGGGCAATAATCCTCTAGTGTGTGGCCAGCATTAAATAACTAGACCTTTAAAAAGAAAGGCATGGTGTCAAATCGACTCAATTAGCACATTTTGGCCGGCACAGTTGTCATTTTCACGCCCGGCGCCCACGTTGTGTAAGTAGCAAATGTACTTGCACACGAGGTACAGCAGCATAAATTCACTGATTAGTTAATCAATCAATTTATCTCCAGACAGGATCGGTCAGGACGCACTGACCGCAGTTTCTCTAATCATTTCAGTAAATTGTAAAACACTCATACATCCATACAACACACAATAAAGAAATGACCGGTTCATCATAGTTTATAATAATGCAGCGCAGTGAGGATACAGACATTTCATAGAGGAGCTTCACGCCATGCACTTAGATCATCAGGGCCCTAAACACCCCGCCATTCTGAACAGCTTCTACTAGAGATAGCACATTATTTTATGCTTCTGAATATGGCTCAGCAAAATATCCAACATCATTTTTCCCCCTCTCTTTCTCCTCCAACACAGAACTAGATAGTTAACTGTCCAACAAATGGTATCCATTTCATTTGTTGATATTAGTTGATTCCCTATGCATGCTTTTTCGGTTTGCGTTCTTACAGGCCATAATGCTTGTGGTTACAAAATACATATATCTGATGTTTCTAGTGTGTATGAGATTGTCCTTGCAGATGAAGGTACAAGATGCTGACCAATATAGTGACCATTTCTGATCTCCCTACTGTTAACTGGAAAATAATATATTCAATAGCAAGAAAGGCTTCAGGGACCAAGGGGATGTGTCTGTATGGTGATTTTGATTCCTTATCTGTCTTTGCAGCTGCAGATGGATTGTGTTACTTTAATTTACTGTAAATCCCCTTTATTCAAGAGCACGCAATCAGATAAAAGAAGCAATGTGCTGTGAGTTTCTATGCATATCCTTTTGTTTCACCAAATCATTTTTGATCATCCTTAACTTGCTGACAAGCTGCACTTCTGAGCTGATTACCAAGCCTGCAAAAAAATCCTTGATTCAAATTGTATACAAACACAGACACACACAAGTATTTTAAAACAGCATGAAGCTTGATGAGTTACATCATAGGCCAGTAAGTCAGCTGTTGACAGGGAACACACAGAATTCAAATCAAAGGGGGTTCAGGCACCCACTGATCCAAACACACCCCTGAGTGGAGCAGCAGCTGCAGAAGCAGCATGAATTTACCAGGTACAGTAAACTTTTCAGCTACAGCAAGTGAATAGGCATTACATTCACACTACGTGACTGGGAGACAGAGAGACTTAGAAAGAAAGAGAGAGAGAGAAATGACCTGGTTTTCCAGTTATAAAACGAACACGAATATGAAGCATGAATATTACATTATTCTGTTTGACCATCGTTCATCACTCTGTGTATAAACTGATGTAATGTGATTAAACTGTCATATTTGTATTTGTGAGTGTGTCGCATCCATGTGGATGCACTTTAGACTGGCCATCCTTCTCTGTCCAATGCACTTCCAAGGCATCATTAACTCCAGCCACACCAAGATGAATTAGCTTGCTAGATTGCAGAGAAGTTATGGATGTTTTATTTTGGGAACAAACTGCTAATTTTACTGCATCATGTATTCTTTTTTTCATTTTATTTTATTTTGGTGTTAGTTTTAGAGAAAGTTGAAGCCATGCAATGCATTGATCTATTTTGTTTGAGATGTCCTTGTACAGTCCAAGAGATTTTCATGTCTTGGTTGTAAGTAGTCAGAAAAACAAAGGTAAAATGTCACAGGTAAGATGCAAGACTTGACCAACATGACCAACAGTCGGGTGACAGTCATTGTCAGCTCGTGTAATAACCACATGCCATCTATGCAACACAAAGTGCAATAATCTGTTTTGTGCAATAATCACATGCTGTTTGAACTTTACAGAGTATTATACTTTCACAGTGTTTATATTACTTATATTAGAGTGTTTATACTTTTATAGTGTTTATATTTCTTATATTGTTGATATTTTGTGTTCATGCTTTTATTTTTTTAATTTTTAATTAGCATCTACAGGTTTGCCCCAAATGACATCTCACTGTACTTGCACTGTGACAATGAAGATATCTATCTTTTTTTCAAAAATGACCCTTGTGAATCTTCCATTTTATAATTTGGTTATTATTACGCCTGCATTCATGTCCGAGCCATTTAATGTTTATATTTATATACAGTATATAATGTATATTTATCTGCAGAGTAACTACAGTCGTGAGATAAATATAGCACAGTAAACACTATAATATTTCCCTCTGAAATAGTGAAGTAGTTTTCTCCGAGCTCTCATGGCCTCTGCACATAAGCAGAGAGTCATTCTATCTCTCTGGCCGAGCTTGTGAGAAAAAACATTTATAAGGAAATGACCAAACCTCCTGCTCTTGGGAGGCTACAGCTACTTTGTCCTGAATGTGGACTGTGTTGTTGCTTGTAGCGTGTAGTGAAACAGATTCATCTTTTTGCTAAATGCTTCACCAGTGACATAAAATTATCGTACCCTGCCTTGTGTGATTCCAATTTCTCTCTCAGCAGTAGTGTGAATTTTTGACCAAGTCTCAATGAGTAATAACAGCCCCCCAAAGAGGCAAAATTAGAACAAAGGGAACCTCTGATCATGGATAGAAAATGACTGGATGACAATCGTGCTCAGAGGAAAAAATCACAACACAGGATCTGTATTGAACACACGTTCTTTTTTATTTCCTTAAGAGCAGCTTTTAACTCCAACTCTGTCCTTGTGATCAATATTGTATAAAGACTGTGAGGCTTCTCGGACCAGAGGGACACATTTTTGTCTCTCCATCAGTTTCTTTCACAGCTCTAAAACTGCCGGTTAGATAAAGTCAGAGAAGTAAAAAGGCTTATGGTGAAAACAGTCGCAAATCTCTAGACACATGCTTCAGTAGGTGTGCGTGCAGTGGATGAGCAACAAAGCAACAAACAGAGGGACACAACACAGACTGGACCAAGTACAACTACAACTATTAGGAAAAGTGGCCAAACTTAGAGTTACTTTCACTTTATCTACTCTCTCTAAGCACTCAGGGTACATCAAAGGAGCATAGAGGGTGAAAATGGTCAGTGGATAATACCAAACCCTGAAGAGTGAAGCACCTCATCCATCACCAGCTATTGATGTCCTTGAGAAAGTGACTAAACATGTCCCTCCTCACTCTACAGAATCCCTAAACTGAACTCTCAGGTGATTTCACCGAGACTATTATAGTAGTAGTATAGTATTAAAAACTCTGTTGAATATGGGGTTATTGCCGCAACTATGTACGGTGAAGACAGCTCATGGTAACACTTGTCATAGTAACACAGTGCACTTTCCAGCACGTGAGTTTTCTATGAACACGGCGGTCAGAATGATCAACTGTCAGAGAAATGGTGGAAATATTTGTCACCAAATGCTGATACATCTTAGTCTTCAACAGGCCTAAACCTGAGCTTACCAAAGCTATTTGGTTAACGGCTTTCGTGGGTACGGGAAGCTAACTTTCCCCCACTGGACTGCCTCATCTACAAGGAAACTACCAGATGCGATATTCCTGCAATATAAGCGACTAAAGAGATGGAAAAATAGAATGATGCATGAAGTCGTGCAAGGTTCAAGCAGTATTTCTGTGTGTGTGTGTTTTGTTGTACAGCCATGCTAGTGTGTCTCTGAGGCTGGACTTAGCAGTGTTTGAGCTAAATGAGGACATCAGCGTGCTAAGATGTTCACAGTGAGAATGCTAACATTTCCGTTTAACAGTTATAATATTTCACAGAAAAATGTCAAGTTAATGGCAGCGCTAGAGGAAAACTCAGGGGATCACCAAAGTCATTAGGATTTATCCTCTGGGCACCATGAATGTCTGCACCAAATTGCATCATAATCCATTCAATAGTTGTTGATATTTCTGTCTGTACCAAAATGATGGACCACCTTAACTCACCTAATTTTCATTCATTGTTTAAGATAAACATTTATGAAAAAATCTGCACAGCAACATTCATAACATAAAACTTCTTTTTCTGAGTGATGGGGAATGGGCCCATATTATTTGTATAGAGCCATTTCATTAGTTTTGTTCCATCATTTTTAGCTAAAAAGGATGCATGGTTGTGCATGGGGTGGAAGCGGTCACTTTGAAGTGGTGCCATGGTTTTAACAAGTCCGGGAACCACTGGGACATAACAGTGTTGGTTTGAGAAATTAAAAGAGAAAAAGAGAAATTAGATCATGAGATCCTGTGTCATACCCATCATGTAGATTTTGTTTCCTCTTACAAAGGGCGTGGCTCCGTACCGCGGCGTGGGCATGGAGGTCATCGGCTGCCATTGGTCTTTCTCTGCCTCATAAACCCTCACCAGGGCCTGTGCCGTTGTGTCAGCTCCCATACCTCCCAATGCATACACCTTTCCATCTGCAGAGAGACATATAAAAGAGACACATTGCACATTAACAGCTTATTATAATTTACTCTCTTGGTGCAACATGTAGTCAATAGACATTTGCTCTCAAGCTTGTTGTCAGGTTAATATAAGGACAAATATTCCCAACACCTCTCCAAACAGCCAGAAAAAGAGATGCATCGCGGTGCCCTTTTGTCCCAGCATAACTGGTTCAGCTGTCATGTCTGCTATCTGTCGACAGTAATCCAAACAATTTGCAATATTTATGCCTGTGTCTGAGAAACTTCCAGATGACCCTCAAATTACTTTTTCACAAGGACATCCCCAACTACTGCAGTGTCATTGGACTATACAGAGAAGCAAGGGGAAGGGAGAGGAAAAGTGCTGAGCAAGCAAACACAGTGCTCCTGTACTGCGGGGGGGGGGGAGAAGGAGAAGGGACATGAAAGAAGAGGAGAGGAGAAAACAGAACAGGAGAGGAGTGGCGGGGGAAACATGAGAGGAAATGAGAAGAAATAGCCTTTCATAGATTAACAGCACTCTGAAAGTTGTGACAACTTAAATCTGAGGGAGCGAGAGAGAGAGAGAGAGAGAGAGGGGAACTGAGAGACATGAAGGGAGAGATGGGGGTGTCTCAGTCAGCCAGACAGATGATAAATCCACAGAGCTGTGACTTAAACTGTGAAGAATAAAGCAATATTAAATCTGCCACTCAGAATGCAGCTCAACACGTGTGCGATTGCCCCGCAGTTCAGCAGTTATGATTGAGTAAATCCAATTTCACTGTTGTACATAAAATAAATGACGCAGCAAGGACACTTTCAAACAGCTCTCACCTCGTGGTGTCTAGTGTTTTTAATCTTTTGTGTTTTTGTCGTCAGTTGTTGCTTATGCTTTATTGTTCAATTCTTTACTGTTTTCATGATCTTATTGGTAAAAATTGTACTTTTTTAAAGCACTTTGTGATCTTGCTCTGTGAAAGGTGCTATACTAAATAAAAGTTAAGTCAGGGGATCACCAAACTTCACAAACACCACTTATGTCTGAATGAAATTGTATGATAATCCTAAAAGCTGTTCACTGAGTGTCTAGACAAATTTGATAACAACAAAGAATGGCTACAGCTATAAAAAAAAAAAATGTAATCATAAAATGAATGTGCTGGGCCTCATGTAAGAACATTTAATGAAGAGTTTAGTGAAAATGGTATCATCGTAATTTTATAGGGGGTCATTCTAAATGTCAATGGTATTAAATGTAATTAGCATAATGTCAAAATTGCAAAGAAATTAATGATTACAGGGACAAGGAAAAGATAAATTCTCCAAGAAAGGAGGGCTCCTCTGTGTGTGTGTGTGTGTGTGTGTGTGTGTGTGCGTGTGTGTGTCAAAGGTGAAAATAGAAAAGATAGTAGTAGAAGTGTCTATAGCAGAGCAAATCATTTCACATGCAGGATGTGTGTCTGTGCGTAAACCCGTTCAAAATGGCAAGAAACTACCGGCCAAAACATGTCATACTAAATTGCTTTTACTTGAACTTTTACACTTCCAAAAGCTCCTTTCTCACAGCAGTATGATAAGAGTTTCCATGTATAATGAAATGAGAACCTGTTTTTAGTGAGATTAAATGTAGAAAGAAAACGTTACATGCCCAGAGGAGAGCTTGGATATCTAAAGTTTTCTTTTAAATGTGTTCCATTATATGAGGGACACTTTTGTAAATAAAGATGTAGCATGTTCTAAAACATTTGTCCTATATTAGACATCAGTCTAAACATATTCTGGGAAAAGACAAGTTAAACTTTTCTCTTCTTGCAATACCTTCTAAAACAAAAGTAGTAATGTGCTTCATTTCGTTCACATTAGTCATTATCTAAGTACAAAAAGAATATATTTGAACCAGCACAACCCATATTTTCCCATCCAAGATTCCACCTACTGCAAGTTAACAAACACTAGTTGTTTTGAAGGTCTATTCACACTAATAAATTCAGTTACCCACAAATGATAGCGCTAATATCAGAATCAAAAAGAATCAGAGCTCGTATGGATAAACTTTTTTTTTTAAACCAAGTGCAACAAATAATCACAACATGAAATACATACTTAAAACGGGTACTATCTATGTATACACCTCAATTAACTGGCAGTATGACACAATAAATGTCCACCAATCAGGATTGTTATTAGACTGACTCTAGATGCTTGACATTTACGGACCACTCACACTGTTAACTGTGACCTGCAGCATCTCCACATTACTAGGACTCATGTCACTCTATTACTCAGTGACCTCCACTGGCTCCCCGTGGCCTCCAGAATCAGATTCAAGTCATTAATGCTGCATACAGAGTGACTACTGGGTCTGCACCATCTACCTAAACTCCATAATAAAAAACTTACGTTCCTTCTGGGCCTCTACGCTCCTCCAACAAACGCCGCCTGGCTCTGCCATCCCTTCACACAAAGCAGTCCCAGTCCCGGCTGTTCTCATCTGTAACTCCACGATGGTGGAACGAGCTACCACACGCCATCAGAGCAGGGGCGTCCTTCTCTGATTTCAAGAAGCTCTTGAAAACTCATCTCTTCTGAGAACACTTCCTCTTGCACCTCTAACATGCACTTCCTGTGCTCTTCTTCTTCTATCCCCTACAATTATCTTGTTTTGATTGCACTTTTTTGTTAACTCTTACTTCCTTCCCTAGGTATCTACCCCATTGATGTGATATGAACTATTAGCTCTTACTAGTATTTATTGCTGCTCTTACTAGTATGCATTGTCAGTTGTCGACCTGTAGTTGATGCTCTGTTGATGCTTGTATGTTGTTCCTCAAACGTAAGTCGTTTTGGATAAAAGCGTCTGCTAAATGAGTAAATGTAAATGTAAATGTGTGTGTTTATGTCTGTGTGTGTGCTGTCGTCTTTTGGCCCATCCACGCTCTAATCATGTACAATCTCCTCTAATTAAGGCAACTGTGCTCTATTCTCTGCCCATCACCCCGGGAGACTCCATGGGAACCACAGCCTTACCCACAGTCTGTTATTATGGGCTGGATTTTGGTGCTTGGTGAACAAAAAGCGTCACCACTCAAAGGCAGACCACTGCGTCACTCCCTAGAGCTAAATTATGAAAGAATACACTTTCTGGACTAAATGTGCTCATAACGCTGTGTGCTGAACACATAAATCATCAAAAACAGTGATGCACAAAACTGCAAATGGTGGCAGCAGACACTAAGGACAACACATTAGTTGTGCTTTATATTTTTGTCCTTTTTTTTTATAACTCTAATGCACAAACTCAGTCTGATGTCCCATCACGTCTCTCACCTTTTTGTTTTGTGTTTTTCCGCATCCTCATGTCACTGATACTTTCATTTTACTTTCATTATCTTCCATCACCCTTTTTTTTTTTTTTTTATCCCTTTTGGTTTTTAACTGGCTCTTTTTTTCTCTTGCCTATCTTTTTATCCTTCCTTCTCATCTCTTTTTTTATTACTCCTTATCCATTTTCTTCCCCCCTAATGCAGCATTCAGCCCTGGTATTGGATACTATGGTAACAGCAGAGAACGCAAGACATGACAGGACATTTTGAATGGTTATATGTTTTCAAATTTCAAACTTTAAATACATTTTAATCAACCAATCATCACAGTATGGGTGGAGTAATTTATGTCTATTGTTGTCTGTCAAACTTCTGTTATTTTAGTGAGAGAAATAAAGGAGCAAGATACAAATAAACAGTTAATGAGAAAAGCATTACTGTATGAGTAAAACTGAATAATGAACCAATAACTCACATTTAGTCCTTCAGTCTGTCTTTCACTCTTTTATAATTGTCACTTTTTGCTTTTGTATGTCCTCAAGGGAGAACAGCTTAATGTAGATCTGGGGGAAAAAACACTATAAAAACTATATTTGTTCCCTGTAGTGTTTCATTATGATACACAATAATTACGGTTTACACTGTTTAATAGACAGCTTAGTCCTTTCTAAAGATATACATTAAGTTTGCCTTAAAAGTTAAATGTTTTCTTTTCTGATGGCTTTGCTCACTTTTGAAACACTTGTTTGCTGTTGACCTGTTGGCCACACAAGTTCTATTGAGGTTAGCAGAGAGCTTATATAATAATCTGACCAGAAATAAATCATCAGACCAGTTCTCTTATTTTTAGAAGCTTCCTGCATCCAGGCTCAGTCTGGATTAAACACACTTAGAGTGAGACAGAAGATGACAAGAACAGAGAGGAAATAAACACTGAGAGCAGAAGGGCACAAGTGATGTTTCAAACCTACAAAATACATTTATATTCTATTATTCTGCTTTGTCAAATACATTTTGGAGGACATGTAATTGCTGCCTGGGTTACGTTCACTAGCAAAGCTTTGACCCAACGCAACACTAGTGTGACATTCCTGAACCTGAGCAGTCATACAAAGGTGGTCATGGTTGTTGGCTGGGATAAAAAATACTTTGACACCACAGAGCAGAGCTGACATCCTGCATCCTACAAATTAGGTTTATAGGCTACTAAAACACTTCATCTCTTTCTTAAAGTAACTTTTTTTTTTTTTTAACCAACACCTAGGTCTTTCCCTAACCACAAGTGCTGTGAGTGCCTAAAATGCTTTAGTTGTTATGAGCAGGTACTGCAAGAGTAGATATTCTAGAAAAGCAAATAACATAGTCAGTCAGTGAACATTTACATATTTTTGAATAAATTAATTAAGTAAAAGTGTTATGTTTTATGTCTGGTCATTCACACTTACTGGCCACTTTTTTGGGTACACCATGCCAGTAGGGGATTGGACCCCCTTTTGCCTTCAGAACTGCCTTAATTCTTCATGGCATTCGTTTAACAAGCAAACATTCCTCAGAGACTTTGGTCCATATTAACATGACAGCATCACACAGTTGCTGCAGATTTGTCGGCTGTACATCCATGATGTGAATCTCCTGTTTCACCACGTCCCAAAGGTGCTCTGATGGATTAAGATCTGGTGACTGTGG